CAAAAACTCATCAGTAGAGGTCAATACAGAAAACAGTTTTCTCATTGACTTCCATAGGATCAAAGTCTTTACTAATGGTGAATAGTTGTCCTTCTCTACCTCTGCGATGTAGTAACAACCACCTCTCACCTAATGTCAGGTGAAATTGGTTTCAGCCATCCCACGATCCAAGCTAGATTACATGAAATCTAAAACTGCTTTAGTAATCATTTCTAAATTAATTTCAAGGAAAAAAAATACTGAGTGCCAGTTTTTGAATTTGAATTAGAACATATGCAGCATCTTTGGGTTTTAGGAGGCTAGTCAGAGAAACAGAAAAATCTGAACACAAGTGTTTGTTTGACATTTTCTAAACCAAATTATTCATGAATTATATGTGAGGAGAATCTGAAGCTTACTCAATAATGAAAATTATCGATGTTTGAAGCTCTAATTTCAGCTTTCATTCACTCCGTGTTTCCTTCCTGGACTTGAAGTCAGGGTGAAATAATCTCCTCCTCTAAAAATGACCACAGTTATATTAGTAATAATATTATAAGGCGCTGACTGGTCGAGTTTCAGTGAAAAGGTCGTCGGCCTCATAAGCTGGTTCACCATTTTATTTTGAGAGTACAGTGTAGGCTACCATTTACCTTTAAGATTCCACAGGAACCAATTTTCAGCATGATTCATAGATATCTGGCCCAGAGTCAAGGTTTTTTTTTCCTCCTTAAGGCGCCAAACGTCTTATTCTGCCCACTACACGTCTCTGAATCTCAGCAGGAGGCACAGATTGCTGGCCATCATATCCTAGTTATTACCTGTAAAACATTTCACAGAAACTGTGAGACATTTTGCTGTAATTCAAGAAACATTTTCTTTCCTCCATTACCTCTGACTTTCAAAGTTGTGTAGTTTCTACCCACAGTGTGCGATTGTTGCCATGAGCTGCTTTCACCCACTGTTAGTCTGCATGCGTCGGGGACCTGCACACTAACATGTTTGCTTTTAACCACAGAGACACTACAAGCCTACAGTTCAGAGATGGTTTTAAAAATGTGATTCATGCAAACATAAGATGCAGATTAATTCTAATATAACACTGAGTCAGACATTTGTGTTTATTTTCTGTGTTCATTGCAGAATATATGCAAGATACCTGCTGAATTAATGTAAATGAGCCCCTCTGCTTTATACCTGTGTTGCACTGCCCCCCACAGTCCAAAGTGTGCAACTATGATTTTGTGGATGGTTACAGAAACATTTTGACACGATGCTGTATTTGATGAGAGGGTTCTTTTTCATTTGTTTCTCTGTGAATGAGTCCATCACTTTGTGACTAAAACCATTCAGCTTAAGGCATCTGGTGCGGATGGTAAACACCTGTTATTCACATTTCTTTGTTCTCAGAAATGACCGATTTTTGACTGCCAAAACCAGGGGTGTCAATATTTTATCATGTGCAGCTCAATTTGCCCTTAAATGGACCACACCAGTGAATCAGAGTGTTTCCTAATAACCTACAGTATTGTGCAATAAGTAAAACCCCTCGTTTTACTTCCAATGAGCCAGACTTTAGTGAAAACGCAACTTTCGTTCGGATAAGCGGAGGAAAAAAGGATAAGAGGCAGGCCAACAAAAAAAAAAAAAAAAAAAAAAAAAATCTACAGGAGATGACTAGTATCTTAAAGCCATGTCTTTAAGAAATTAGGGAAAATGTTTGGATGAAATATGCCAAATTACACAAGAAATGAACTGAGAATAAGTAAAAGCAGCTCTCAGGAAGTGATGAATTCAAAAATCCAAATTTTGGTTCAAACGATTCTCAATATGTGCAGAAGTCAGAGAGGTACAACAGTGTCTATAGCCATCTTTAGAACACGATGGAGGTTCGGTCATGGTTTAGTGCTCCATTTCAGCCAGCAGTGTCCATGATCTTGTTAAAATTGACAAAAACATTATGCACAGAGAAAAATGATCATTTGTATCAGCACGTGCAATGCTATCTGGAGTTTCATTTTTCAGCATGACAATGGTTCCGAGCCAGTGCAGTAAATGCACACCTGGATAGAAAAACACACACTGGAACACTATCAGTCATAGACTGGCCTCCCAGAGTGTGGGATAACCATGACAGAGAGCAGAAAAAAGGCAGCCAATATCCAAGGAAGAGCTTTAATTGTCCTCTGAGAAGCCTGTAGAAGTATTCCTGAAGATTACTTACTGTAGTTCCATTTATGTTTCAATAAATCTCGTGTCTCACTTTCCCTGGCAAAATACAAAGAAATGAAGTGTGACGCAAGACGTTTCACTGTACTATATTAAAAAACATTAAAAACAAATGTCAAGTGTTTTCCCACAATAATCACTTTTCATTTTTAACCTGCTCTGATTTCCTCCATGAAACTGAGGCGTTCTCACCTTTCATCTTAGCGACCTCTTTCAACTTCACGCAACATCCCTCCTGAAGTTTTCACAACAGCTCTGTTTTTTCAAACCTGGAAATTTTAAAGCTGGAGGGATTTGATTTTAGATGCACAGTGATTCTAATTGTGTACAGTTAGTAGAACTAAAGTTATTAGGCAAACAAAGATTTACTTTTTTTTTAAGTCAGCAATGCAGTAAGCAAGCTAGAATTTCTCCAGTTTCTTGATAGCATCATTGTAGCATTATTCTTTGAAAGTCTGTTTATAGTTTCTCAGAATCTTACACTTTAGAGATCAAATGATCAAAAAATAATAATCAGAATAAGGGAGAGAAAAAGTACTAGTTAGGCTATTTGACAAATGGACCTATTAAAATTCTGCTGTCAAGTATCAAACTCAGTATTTTGCTGTTGTCATCTGCTTGTTTGAAACAAAGACATGACAAATGAGGGGCAGAGAAACTGAAGGATACTCCACTGTCATGGGCTGGTGACTTTTTAGTCACGTAGCAGAGTATACCATTCTTTCAATTTCAAATGTGTTCCAATTGAAAGACAAAGTCAGACATCCGGACTTCCCAAATTTGAGCTGGAACTCGTAAAGTCAGAGAAGCCACACCAACCACGTCTTTCCTATCCAAGAGGGGAGGAGTGTATAAAAAAAAAAATAAAAAAAATAGTAAAACTGTAGAACATGTAATCTGTGCCTCCACCATCGTGTATTTGTGACTCACTAAACCATACAAAGAGTAGCAAGTAGGCTCTATCTTGTAACATTTTCCTCACTGCTACTACTGACATCCAACACAGCACAATTTTCCTTTTTGACCCCAACAGGTGCTATAATATATAAAATGAACACCATGTTGTATTAAATAAGACTTTAAATTACCGATTTACGCCACAAACATTTCAGGAAAGCATTTACTGAGGTCACAGATCAATAAAACAAAAGGGACATCACCTCATTAATTTCATTACATTCTCACATTTTTTTTTTTTTTTAAATTTATTTATTTATTTACTTTTTTTTTTTAAACGCTGAAGGCCATTGGGAAGAATGCAGGTTTAAGCCTCTCTTCAGATCTTGAAGCTACAACATTCTTGCTCTAGTGAAGCAAGTCTTACACCACTCACCCTATCAAGGCTTTTTTGTCTCTAAACTCAAGCAGCTAAAGTTGGTTCATAAATAACTCGCAAAACAAGTCCTCTGAATTATTCAGCCTCATTTCTGGTTTTGATCCCTGTGGTTAAAACCCCCAGTACAACAATAATCCATTAACCTTTTACACAGAGCATAACTGCTAAATGTGTGGCAAACATTGTGCCCGTCTCTCCCTTTATGTAAGTACACCATCGTAACAACATGCACGTTCAGGAAAACACTCCCAGAGAAAGCAACTCTTAGATGAGACACATGCTGCACATTAAGCAGCAGGAACTGGTGGTGGTTTGTAAGCAACTAATAAGAAAAATGAGAGTCTAGTCACAGTGTCAGACAACAGATGCAGTATGACTGCCACTGGAAGAACACCAACTGTGCACCATAATGCCACAAGTCAGCTGTCTGGCACACAAGTCTATTTTGTGAGATCACACTTTAATCTAGCGGGGTTTGCCACACTACAGTACGACAGGTAAGGCAAGCTTCTTTTTTAAAAAAAAAAAAAAAAAAAGTGTACATTTGCCAATTTGAAAGCAGCTATAATTCTCACTTAATTGAGCAGCACATTAAGTCACAGTCTTGGGTCCAAGGCTA